CTCAAACGAACGATTTGAAAGAAACATTCTCAAATCGACACATCGTGAACATCATAGCACGATGGAACAGTGTGTCTTCGCATTTAGGATATTGAGACTAAGATTTCATCGCTACAGTCTCCAGAAAGCAGTATTATACTGTTCTCTGTCTAAATTCCATTTCATAGGGAAATCTTTTATCAGAGGGGGAATAACGACGAAACAATCCCCTAATTATCCCTGGAATACAATAACATTAAAATGGTCATTTGGAAGTTAAAATGACGATTCTCAAAAAGAAGGCCAGCAGCAGGGTTCAGATTCGCGAAATGAAGCAAGGACAGGAATTGATGCCACGAAGTCCTACTGGTTGATTTGATATCTCAACGTGTTTCTTCCTATCTGAGGCATGCCTCATTTGCAACCCTATGTCAACATCACGTGGTCGTTGTACTCACTAAGCAGACGATTAGCACGGTGAGTGTCCCATAAAGAAGTTGTGGCTTGTTATCGAAAATTTTGGCATATTTCTTTTCTGTGAAACTAAACAGACGTTTCAACGAGTAATATGAGAATGAATATGACCCTCCAAGAGTGCGAAATCAAACGGTTGCTCGCACCGGTCCACTTCACCTCCAGTTGGTTGCGGACTTCTTCGAGGTGCCATACATGGACGGTAGTTTTTGATTAACCTATCCTTCTTTCACTGCCCCGAAAAGATGTATGAATCATAGAGTCTAGTATGATTTTATGCAATGTTGTGCTGATATTAAAGGGATCATTCAAGCTCGTTTACTTAGCAAACAACGACCATTTGAGGTAATTTTTTTCAACCAGTTATTTGTCTTCGTTATTTCTCGATCATCATCTCAGGAATCGATTTCGATCACGAGTCTATCGTCGTGCCCGAATTGCACGCCCTTTCCGAATAACAAGTTTTTTCTTAAGTTTTGCTTCAACTGAAGCAAAAAATGTGAGCATAACAAATCACATTGTTGAGAATCGACGTTTTTCTCAGTTACTGGTTCGTGGCTCTAAGTCTTATGTTTGGTGTCTGTAACACGGGTCAATGAGACGAGATATGTGGTATAGTTAGTTAGTTATCTGGCAAAATCAGAAGGGCGATAGTATTTCGTTGTTCTTGGTGAAAAGTATAAGCTCTACGCGTTGTGGGAGACCTGTGTCCTCCGCCCAGCATCAGTGGGAACCAACGAAATATGATCGTGAAATGGGTTTCAGTCATTTCTAGAATTTCGCTCATCACGTCATGTCAGAAAATCGCAAGCATTCATCAGGCAAAACAGTACCGCACATAAAAATAAGTTGCAGATCCAAACGGCCAAAAAATCAAAAAAATTTTAAAAATTTACCTTCGTGCAAGAGGCAGTAAGTATGACTGATTACACCAATGAACTGAATTCCCACAGTAAAGGTTTGTGTAGGATTTTTTTTAACCTGTGTAGAAGTTTGGCGGTAACTAACTTATGTTACTACACCTTCGATTTTTTTAGTTATCATTTAGTAATATAAGATAGCTCTAGCGGAAAAAGGCTATGAAATTTTTTCAGCCACGGGCAATTGCTTGCGAGACAGTCTGCTATGTTTGTAGGGAAATGGGTTCAGGAAGAAGCACCCACTTTCTAATAATCTCCATTGCTCTCGTCCTATCTGCTTTATCGGTAGTTGCTGTGATAGTCTTCATCATCTTCGAACGGTGGAAGCATAAAAAGAAAGTGGAATTGGCCAAACAAATTGAGCAAGAAGAAGAACAACAAGAGAAAAGAAAGAAGGCGGCAAGAAAAAGAAAGGTTGGTGTTGACCGAGTACTTCAACGTATTTAGCGCTTGATATACTATTGATGTTTACTTTGAATACATGCATCTTACTACTTTTCGGTTTTTGAAGGAACGCGAAAAAAGAATGCGGAAGAAAAAGCAAACGAGGAAAGGTGAAACTTCGTCTGGCCCAAAGGTAAATCAATTTCGCTAGGTGAAAAAAGGTTTTAATACAGCTAATAGGGTACAGAAGAAGGTTGCTAGAGCTGTAGAGTCGTTGACGACGTTACACATTCGCCATCGAATGAGCTTGACTTAACAAAACTGACAAATTACGATTGTATCCAAGCTGACTATAACTACACATTCCATCTACGAGAAATGAGTTGTCTTTCATTGAACGAAAAGAATAAAAGGAAACTCGATCAAGAAAACAGATCCACACCATTGATTTTTCGTGTGCACTAATGTGCGCAACGCTAAGTTCTACTTTTTCTTCTTTCTGTATTCGTTAATACTTATAGAACAGTCATCTCGAGGTGACAACTTCTTCAGATTATTCCAGCAATATCGGTTGAATTTCAATAGACTCTTCAGCATAGGTCGTTCTCTCTAGCATCGACTCGTGTCTTCTCCTTGCCGTCTCCCCATTATAGCGCTGTCTGACAGACTGCTTGTTCTTAATGACTTTATTGGTTGAATGTTTTGTCTCCTGGCAGTTTTGAATGCCAAGTGTTTTCGATCATCGTGAAACAGTATCGTATGTCCGAAATACGACATTTTCCTCTTTTTTTTCTTCCTAACATGACTCGACTTTTTCGCCTAACATTTTTTCCAACTGTGAAACTTTCAGCGTTCTTCATAACAGAGTTCCATTCACCAAAAACAAACATTTATAAAGGTAACTAACCTCCATTCTCCCCCGGCAAGCTGTAGCTTACTGAATTGCCAAGCCGAAGTAGAACGTTCCACATGTTTCAGATGATTGCTAAAACATCTTACTATTTCACAATCTATACCGAAGCGGCCAAATCTCAACTTGCGATTTCCCTGTTCATATTATATATGCATTCCTCAATATCCTAAATACGAAGACACACTGTTCCATCGTGCTATGATGTTCACGATGTGTCGATTTGAGAATGTTTCTTTCAAATCGTTCGTTTGAGACTATTTTCGTTACACCATCCGTTCCACGTTGTCGTAGGAAGCCAAATCGCATCACTAATCCATGAAATGAGGATTTCTCATTTCCGCGGTCTTATTGTGTCCTGCGTGCTCTTTCATTACGCCCTTAACTCAAAACGCTTTAGCGGCGTGGCTCTTGCTCACCCATTTCATTGCATGACTCAATGAGGCAGTCGTGGTTTCGCTCACAAGTACGAAATCCATGTTTTTGATGCCGCAAGAAAGTAACAGTAAGATTTTCGCTTTTGGAAGAAAAAAAGAGGCTTTCGAAAATTTTCACAGGCAAAGAAAATAGAGTGCAAACGCGTAAAGGATAAAGCGTTAGGCATTAATGAATTCGTGAGCCATGCGTCGCTAATTGCATTTTATTTAACATCGTAGAGGTAGATGAATGCGTAGCTAGCCTATATAATGCCTTAGCGCAGATTGCACGCTCCACATGCTGACTGATAGTACTCCAATTTCCATCTCCCTTTCTTTCGCAAAAGTTTCTAATATTTTTTTCTTACTGTTCTTTCAAAGCGTCGGGAATTTGTGAATATTCAGGCTCGTAGGTTTCAATTTTTGCTGGGATCACTTTAGAAACTACATTTATGGAAGCCCAATGGTTTGTTATAGGACCACGCTGAACAAGGAGTCTGTGAGATGCACCAATATTCTTCTACTTTTCCTCGTCTCACCGTTATCATACGTTCATCTTGTGGTATAGGAGTAAAAGATAGAGCACTCGGCAATAATCACTCTCTCAGAGATGCACTACGTATTCAACTTCATTAAACATCGTTAGGGCAACTGAATGTATAGCTGGCCTATACGAAGACTCGCAGTGGGGTGCCGATGTATCGAACAGCGCTTCTATCCTTCCGGAATAGTCTGGCATCAATTTGCCAACTCCGGAATGATGGAAGACTTGGTGAGCCTGGGCAGCGAGATCGAATCCATCGAACTCATGAATGTGTATTGCAAGGCGCACCTAATCACCAGGCTCCACGCTCCCTCAGGGTATGATAGCGGTGGAAACTTTCCATGTACCGCTGGAGAATGGCACACATTGTGCTTCATATTCTTGACTATTTGGAATTTTTCGGTCTGCGCCGAGCCAAGTGCAAAGTGGAATTTAGTGGCAAGTAAAAAGTAATGTGAAAACTTTCAAACCTAAATGATCAAAATAAAGCTTAATTCATGCCACACCATGGAATTTAATTTCCGTTCCTGTTTTATAATTGCGTGATTTCTTGACATATTTGCAGGTGAAAAATGCTGTGGAGGACTACTTGAAATCGCAGCTTGAAACGGGCGTAGTGGCCACCGTGGCCACCACACAAGGGAGTGAGCGGTGGGACGCCATTGCTGGCCAACCAGCAAAGCTTCGTAGGGGCATCTCTGTCACAGCCGAAAACAAGTCTGATGTGAATGAGGCGGTAAGGAAGATGAGTGAAGTGAGCAAGGAACTCGATGCATTCGGAGGATGATTCTGCAGGAAGTAGTGCAAATTGAGGAACTGCTCAAACCAGTTATCTCAACTTCATTTCTTCGTACTTTTCTACAGTTGAAAACCACCTTATGCAGTAAATTGATATTATCGTCTATTTAACGTATAAATGCTGAGCAAAGTATTTTGTGATTCCGCGGTCTGCAGACAGAAAATTATTACTGAATGACGAAGATCATCATGAAATCAACAGAACACGTGTAAGCACACGAATATATATATGTATATATCCTTCTAGTTCGACATAAAGGCTCACAGTTTCCTGCTTTTTGGGGTTCCGAATGTTTGCCTGATGTCCAGTTAAAGAGAAAAGTTTGCTGTACGGCGATTTTTTCATGTTTTCATTTCACAGTTCAGCTTGTTTCATTCTGAGTGTCGTCTCACATTCATCATCCACGACGGTCTTCGATCTTGCTTATAGCTTAACCTACTATATGACTATTTCGTCTTCTTCAAGAATGTCGTTGTTAGTCAAAGTGAATTTTCGTGAAATTCTGAGATATATATATGGTTAACCAGACTACTTCCAGAGTTTCATCACTTGCAGTCGAGGGAGTTTGGAGACGGGAGGGAGGCTTTTCCAAATAAGTCTGAGAATGATTTTCCCATCTTCGACAGATGAAGTCTTGATTACTCCGGTACGAGATCGAACCATAAAGCCAGACCCAAAGCGGGATCGAACTATAAAGCCAAAACCAGAAGTTTCATTTATTGCACAGTATCTCTAAACAATATGCCTCAAGCGTGTTTTCTTCGTATTCACCATAAATATTTGTCACATATATACAACCCAGATGTGGCCTCTAAAAACCTGGTCTAGAAATCTGACTAGAGCATGTAGAAATGGGTGATTTCATTATTCAATTTATCCCTATGTTTGATGTTGTTTTGTTACAGGAAGCTGAATTTTTATGACGAGAGAGGAAGATGAAAAGCCTGGCGAATATGCAGAAATGGTGGGATCTCCCAATGCAAATTCGAAATTGCGCTAAAGATGATGCTCAGCAGAAATAGATCCCACTACAAGTCATCCATGAAAAATTGATGAGAAAATAATGGATAATCTAATAGAAACGGATTTCGTGTAGAATCAATTTCTCCGCGATGGAAGCAAAACTGTTGGCCGTAATTCGAAAAGGAAGCAGTTCAAAAAAGCAATCGAGAACTGTTCGAATATAGTGCTTTGGAACGAGTGCTGAGGAACAAAGATGTGGTGACAACCGTACTTCTGCATCTAAGAAGATGTGAAATTGCTTACAGAGAAGTTTCAATCATTTCTTTTCCAACTTCAATATCCATACTGGACAAAAATCGCTGCCCGTTATGCTCTCCGGTGCTAAAATTATGAAGAAGGACTCGAAGAGAGACATGGCTATAGGACAAAAACATCAAGCCCGATTCAAATCCCAGATAACTTATCTTTAAAATGAAAGGATCCAGTGGAGTTCCTCGCGCGGCTACTCTTCCAAAAAAAAAACGTCCAAGTGAACCTTAGAAATAAATTTTGGATCAGCTAAGTTAGCTAGTTGAATTAATTGAATGATTACCCAGTACATCAACAACAGGACTCTTTACCTTTATTTTGGCTAACAAACGGAAGCTGGTCAAGAATACACAATATATACAGCTTCAATGATGCTGAGATCTTTGCAAAGCCAGTTCTATCGATCACTGTCATCAGCAGTCACCCGACTACGGGATTGATCTGTTGAGCCCAAATCGGCATTGAACCCAGTTGAGTTGATCAGAAAGAAGTATTGTGCAACTATCGCCTATGTGAAAGAAAAGCACAGTAAATACATTCTAATTCATAAGGAGAACGAGCAGGAGGAAACAGTGTAGCGGAACGAAGTGGCGCTACTTTTCCTTGAAATGGGCGTAAATAAATGTGATGTGGCCGTGGCATGTCATCTTGCCGTGCCTGGTGGGCTTAGCATGGTGTGGACGTAGGTTTATTAGGTGACAAATCGCATACATGGGACAATGTATAACTAACATGAGAAAGGTATAGTAGTATAAGAAGGTGGAGTGTATTCTCTACGAGGTACAGAACAGTCTCTATCTGCTGTACCTATCGACATTAGAGGTAAATGGGTAAAACTGCCAAACTTAGACAGAGTCTATGAAAAGTTTTTGAACAGTAGAAATATAAACATTGATAGATCTTCAATATCGAATGAAGGAATCGGTCCGTGATTAAATACATCCTTGTGGCTAGGATTATTGCTAAGAAAACAACTAGTGAAGGGTCCATTTTGTAGAAATAACACGGCAAACTCATCTTAGAAGTATGCAGGAAAGGAGAGCAATACAAAAGAGTGTGAATCAAGTCAGATGAAGCAAAACGCCTACTGTGTTGAGTTCGTGAATTCTTATGCTGATCTCCTGACACACCGAAAGTGAAAGAACAGTTTGCATGCACTATGCCAACATGGTGATATAACAAGAGTCACAACGAAGTGTTCAATCAACATATCGTGAGACATGTGTCATTTCTTATTAAACTTTTAATAATTAGGAGAAACCCACGATCAAAATGAGTTCTGAAAATCTCATGACAGATCGTTTTTCTGAGCAAGAACTACTAGAAGAGAACATTGAAAGATCGTAGATATATTAACTCTGAATCCAACGAGGATGTGAGAAGTGGAGCAACGCAGATTAAACGTTTCCAAATGAAGAAGGGAACCTACAAGTCACGAATGCAACACAAGAACCTTTTTGTCATAATGCACACCATTGGCTTTTACTCATCACATTAATAAGTCATATAAAAAGCAATGTTTTCACGAAAATCGCAATGCTATAGAATCTGATACGTAAACAAAGTTATCCGATTATCTAATGAAACCAATTTCTCGCACTAAACAATAGGTAAGGGGCGCGTGTGGCTCAATGGTAGGAGGCGGCATGCAACACAAAGGTAAGCCGATCCACGCGCCCATGGCAACCAAGCCTTGCATCCCTCCGGGGTCGGCAAACTAGTACCAGGCTTGTCTGGGAGGATAGCAGCACTGGCTCGATACATCAGTAGGCCACTGCGAGTTATTGTAAAGGCCAGATATGCATTCAATCACCTCCAAACGATGCATATTGAAGTCGAGTGTATGGTGTAACTCTCAGGGATTGATCAATGCCTAGAGCTTTGTGCTTTATCCTTTAAATAATAGGGAGTTAGGTTGGAGGTTACATATATTAGGTTGGTACATATGAAATATCTGATTTTATTGTTCTAATTTTTCGTGTGATTTTTTAAAACAAAAATTTTGTTTTTATGTATGCTTAATGTAAATTTTTAAAGCACCAAGTCTGCTCTTTTTATATTTAGTGTTGATTTTTTTCAAAATTTAGCTTTAACGTTTTCCTAGGTTCCAACTTTGATATAGATCAATGTGGTATTCGTGCACTTTTTCGTTGGAGTGGAATAGTGGACATATTGCCGCGGCAGGAGCTCGGAATATCATCAAATTTGGGGTGAAGATAGTATTGGTAATCAACAGTGCGAACATGGTTCCGCAAATCCCGATCTGACGATTTCGTCCTCGAAGTTAAGGAAGGCTGAGGACGTCCCAGTAACTTGACGACGACGAATTAAAGGCACTAGTGAAAGCAAATACGCAAACAACTGTTAGAGAGCTTGCAGAACACATTGCCATAAGCACAGAAACAATTTCCACTCACTTGAATCATATAGGAAAGACAAAAACAAAACTCGACAAGTAGGTGCCGCCCGAATTAAACGAAAATTTAAGAAAATTGCCGTTTTTAAAGCGCCAGCTGCTCTTATTCTGTGCAACGAAAACGATCATTTTATTGATCGATGTTGGGATGGATCGTTGATATAAGAATACCAAGCAGTCAAAAAAATTCGGTCGGAATTAGCTGCTCGTCTTTGTCTGTGCTACGCGGGACTTTTTGTGATTAGCTGTCACAATGCTAGACACCTCAAACTTGGGGAATTAAACCATTTATCATAATTATACAACAATAATGACAAAACAATACAACTGTACAATTAATACAACAATGATACAAGTAATGAATAGGCGCAACCTGATCACTGGTGTTCAGGTTGCTTATGAGTGAAGAGGTTGTCATATGACTTCTTCAACATGAGATGGATGTGACGAAATGACATGGTGACTTGGGCAGGAATGTTGTGAACCGAGTTAGCTAACAGCGGAGCCATTTATATGCTTTTTGGGCTGGGTGGAGTCAGGCGACAGTAGGTGGAGTCGACCTACAGTATGCGAAATCAGGCTACAGTATGCGGAAAGATGGGTGCTGAAAACCTTTCTCAAGCATTGCAGTCTGATAAGGCGATAGTAAAAGCATAGGACTGTAACTGCAGATGTTTTTCATGAGATAACCGCCAACAAAATGTTAGACATAAGGTTATCGGATCGTCATCGGAAACAGTATTCGAAATGCTTGACATAAGGTTATCAGATCACCATAGGGAAAAGATCACCGGAAACAGTATTCGAAATGTTTTACATAGAGAATATTCCAATGTTCTCTATAGTCGAATTATGACGTGCGACAAGAATTTGATTCACTACGACAACCGGCCACGTTCAGCTCAATGGTTGGATTGCGATCAGGCTCCACAGCACTTCCCAAAGCCGAATTTGCATTAAAAAAAGTTATGGTGACTGTTTGGTGGTCTGCAGCCAGACTGTTTCATCACAGCTTTTTGTGTCCGGACGAAACGATACGGCAGAGAAGTATTGTCAACAAATCGACGAAATGTAGACCTCAACAACAACGACTCTGCATTAGTCAACAGAAAAAGAGCATTCCTCCTCAATGGCACGACAACTCTCAGCCTCACGTTGTAGAACCAGCGTTGCAAAAGTTGAACGAGTTAGGCTACGAAATTTTGCCTCATCCACCATATTCATCAGATCTATCACTTGTTCAAGCATCCTTGACAGCTTCCTGCACGAGGCATGCTTTACCAACCACGAGTACTCAAAA